CTTCCCTCTCTTAGGAATAATATTCTTTGTTAAGAAATGTGTAATGTATATTATGATAGAAAAGCGAGATGTTGATACGTGTGGAGGGTGTGGGTGTTGGTGTGGGTATGAGGTGTCGGTGGGTGTGAGTGTGGAGTGTGGGCGTTGGCCTACACTTCACGCACACTCACATCCACACCCACTCCCTGTTCCCGCTTATAGAGAAATGCTTCACCCCACATATAGTCATACTTATCAAGGAGAAATGGAAAGAACGAATATAAAAATATGCATATCTTTTTCTGTTCGTCTATATATATTTTGATTCAAGCAGAAATCGTTTCTTTCAAGGAGAAATGCGTTTTCAAGCAGAAATAGGAAGAAAAATTGTTTGTACGAAAATTTCACTCATTATAAACCAGCAGCATTGTTGTCCATATATCATCAGACTAAAACGCAAAGTCATCGGTATTTTCTAACGTTATTAACTTAACATTCTTCTTCTCTTGTTTTAAAGAAAATATAAGAGAGAATATTTACATTTACCGAATAGAGTTAAATCATTGAAAACATTTTTATTGTTTACAAACAAGATACATAAATTCTTTATCTTATAAAATAAAGATAAGGGAATTCTTTCTTTCCAAACACTACAGATCAATTAAATAATAAAAACAGATTTCTTTTCCTGAAAATCGGTACTTTTATTTCGATGTGCATGCCCTCAAAAAGCTGCAGTATCGCACATACAAATGAAAGATACAAAAGCTTTTATGCACAAATCTTTTTACTTTTCATTCACATGTTTTAACAAAATCACATACAAAACTACATCCGATGGAAAACAAGAAAGCTGATAAACATATCCTGCTCTTATATTAGGCATGCATCAAAACCAATACTGGTTTTGAATTTTGGGTTTTGAGGATTTGGTTTTGATAAGGTATTGGTTTTGATGTACTTTTGGTATCAACAGTTTTGGTTTTGATATGGTTTTGGTATCGATAGTATTGGTTTTGGTCAAGTTTTGGTATTGATAGTATTGGTTTCGGTTTTGGGTATTCCCATGAGATCTCAACGATATCTAGCAAAGTAATCACCGATTTTTATGAAATTTTCAGCGCTTGTAGAGTTTTTAATTTTAAGCATTTTGATAAAAAATAATTTTAAAAAGCTTTTTTTTTTCACGGAGATATACTCAAAATACTTTAAGCAATACAAAACGAAAAACGCTCAGAAAAGGGTTTTTTGCATAATTTTGACAAATTGTTTTTGATAGTTTAGTTCACTAAAACAATACCAAAAGTAAAATCCAAGACCATATTCAGATTCCTCGTGAGACGGCGTATCTGACCATACTAAACTCGACTTTAATTTTGACAAAAACGCTTTCAGCTTTTTGGGATAGTTGCGGACGCAAGATAGCACTGTATTACCCAGTGGTCGGTGAGCAGTGAAGGTCACATATTGGAATCGGTTTTTTTAAATTTAGTTTCAGTTTAGTATGGTCCGATACGCGGTCTCACGAGGAATCTGAATATGGTCTTAGGTTTCATTTTTGGTGTTGTTTTAGTAAACTAAACTATCAAAAACAATTCGTCAAAATTATGCAAAAAACCCTTTTCTGAGCGTTTTTCATTTTTTACTGGTTAAAGTATTTTGAGTATATCTCCGTCAAAATAAAAGCTTTTTAAAATATTTTTTTACCAAAATGCTTAAAATTAAAAGCTCTACAAACGCTGAAAATTTCATAAAAATCGATGATTACTTTGCTAGATATCGTTGAGATTTCATGGGAATACCCAAAACCAAAAACCAAGACCAAAACCAAAACTTGACCAAAACCAATACTATCGATACCAAAACCATATCAAAACCAAAACTGTCGATACCAAAACCATACCCAAGCCAATACCTCAAGACCAAAACTATATCAAAACCAATACCACAAAACCAAGAGTTTTGGTTTTGGTGCATGCCTATCTTATATTAAGGACTTGTCATCTACCTATCACAAAAAGAAACCTTTCTTTTTTTCTAATTCCTCTTTCTTCTTCAAAATTGCATAATTTATTTATTTTTATTCCGAATAGATATAGATTCCATTACATTTTATATTTACAAATTAAACATTTCATTTTGTTACAAGCACTGTCTTACACTCGATTCACATTTCACCTACATTATTTCATCGTTTTTCTTTTCTTTTCTTTATGATATCATTCGTGACTGCACTCACTTTCTCCTTTGTTAGGCACCCTAGATCATCTCTTTCTGTTCTTGATATATTTCTCCCTTCATATTACCTGCTCTCTATACATGTGTATCTTAAACACATGACAACCTTGTTGTGTGGTATGGTGTGAGAGGTTCACAGACCATGTTAATCTATGTCATTAAAAATATTCATTTCTATAACCACTCATCCATAAAATGAAAAAAAAAACAATTGATTTCTGAGAAACGGATCAAGAATTTCTCATTAAAGAAATTTTATTCATTTCTGCTGATATCCCAAGACTAATCTGATCTATTTCTCCCTATATCTTTTAGACTTCTGCTTGTGAGAGTAGGAATGGATTATAGATTTCTTCTAAAAAAATTTTGCATTTCTGCTGTAAAAATCCATTTCTCCTAGAGTTTCTCCTTATAGTGAGAATATAATTTTATATATTTCTGCTAATACTATAAGACTTATCTGATCGATTTCTCCTTATATCTTACATAGTTCTCCTTGTATTGGTGGATATGGTTGATGCGTTTCTGATTGATACCATTTAGTGATGGATTGTGATTCGTTATAAAAAGCGTTTCTGTTTGCCTTTATGTGGGGTAAAGGATTTCTGCTGTAAGTGGAACAATTTAGCGATTTTTGGGGATATCGTCCAGCCCTCATTTCGCCTTTAAGAGGAAAAACTCTATGACCATCAAAGCATAAACATCTATCAGGAGTACAAGTCAAGAAATCGAATAGTTTTTCATAATGATTCAGATACCTTGTTACAAGATAATCAATATCTTTGCTACATCTTTCAAAATTAATAAACCATCTTTCATTATCAGAGTTCATATTATTTGCAGCTATAAAAAGAAAAGATAGAATAATGACACTTGCACATTGATTTTATAGTGTCTCGTTTATTCTTGATTTTTTTCCGATAATATACAGAGTGAAGAAAAATGTTTTGTTTTTTTTTCTCTCTCTCAAATATTACATAAAAAAAAATCCAAAATTGAGCATCGATGAAAAAAAATCCAAAACCTCAACGAAAGATCAATAAAACAAAAAAACAATAACTTCTAACTGAATATGTTGCTATGAAAAACAAATTGTTTATTCATCATCTATCTATAATCATATTAATGAAATCATGATCAAAACAAGAACTTCTTTAATTGATTTTCAATACCAACACTAATCGACGATCTTGTCTCGTTCTTTCCAGATTCTTGTTTTTCTTGATTTTCAGGCAAGATTCTTTTTCTATTCCTTCTATACAAGATTCTTGCCTGAAAAAACTGACCTTGCCTTTCTGACAAGATTCATGTAGACCGAATCTTGGCTAGCGAGGCAAGAAGTGTCTCACCAGGCAAGACTCTTGCGTTCTTGCCTTCTTGTCTGATTCTTGCTTTCCTTAAATTCTTGTCTGGTTCTTATTTTTCTTGATATTCTTGTCTGATTCTTTTTTCCTTGGATTCTTGTCTGATTCTTACATCTCTAGCGTCTTGCCTGATTCTTGTCATATTAATAAAGCTTTTTATAGGTTATTATTATTATCCTTTTCTTACTAATTTATTACAAACTTCACGTAAAATATAGAAAACGCAACAAAATACACTCAATTTCATATGAATTTATAAATATAATCATCGTCATCGAGTATATAATTATCAACAAGTGTATCATCATCAAATGTACCAATAGTATGTGTATCATCATCTAATGTACCACTAGCATCTGCACCATCAGTGTTTGTATCATCCATAAGTATATCATGAACAAGTATATTATCATTGAAAACTGGATTATTAGCAGCAACATCATCTTCAAAATTTTCATTAATTTTGGATAAATATTGATTTGATTCTTTCTAGAAAATAAAAATGAACAGTGAAAAAATTTTTACTTTTTAATGACTCAGTTAAAATAGGTCATTTACAATTTGTTTAATCAGTAAACGAGGCAAAGATATTTGAGTACAATAGAATTTATCTTTTTTCTTATCACGCCATCATCGTTGTTTACGTGTATGTAATGATGGTTCTAAAAAAGGATGACATATGAGTCAAAAAGAAGAAACTAAATACATATTACGATTACCTAATTTATTAACAGCGTTGTCCAGCACAAAGTTGAACAAATTATCAAAATTTTCTTCGTCCATAAAAAAAATATAAATGCTGTAAGGTCTACACAAAATGAAACAAAGAGAAAGATATTGATTAGTAGAATATCGACATGCATTCAATAAAAGTGTATCAGAAAAACATCGCAATTGTATATTTCATTGCTCTCTCTATATCCTATCGAAACAAAGAGCTATCAGAGGTCGTTCGAATAAAATGATCATTTTAGGAAAGGTACATATCCAAAGTGAAATTATACTATAGTTTTCACATCAACAAAATGAACAAATAATACTCCAACGTTTCTTTTATATATTCGAATATACAAAGACATCACGTGCCTTTTTTTCTCAGAAAGCTGACAAGAATCTTTTTCTTCCTATCAATAAGAATCTTCTCTGAACATCAAGAAATTTAAAATATCTAATATTTCTTTCCAGCTTCTGTTTTTTCATGATATTCTGACAAGATGCTTGTGATCTTGAATAGCAGACAATATTCTTTTCAAAAGGAAAGAAAAAGATTCTTGTCTGAACTTAAAATATATCTTGACTATCTTATGATTCTTGCATGATTCTTTTATTTCCGGTTAATCAGGCAAGATTCTGGTCATCTTGAACTCCAGGCAAGATTCTTTTTACTTTTCTGTGGAAAAGAATCTTGCCTGAATACAGGAATCTTGCCTGAAAGTCAAGAACAACAAGAATCTAGAAAGAAAGAGACAAGATCGTCGATTAGTGAATACATTGATTGTTGAACTTCATAATTTATTATTTATCTATGCCTAAATTATCAAAGCAATAGAATTTTAAATCTCTGCCGATAAAATACAATAGAAATCTGTTTAAAACAATTATTTCGTAGATGTTTAAGTCTAATGGGGTCGCGTTCACTTGGCCGACAATCACTTGGCCGACTCATCACTTAACCGACACCACTTCGCCGACAAATTGTTTGGCCGACATGTACACTTCGCCGACAACTCATTTGGCCGACAAATGTTTGAGATCAAAAAAATTGAAATTTCTTGAAAATATTGCGTGGATTTTTCCCACTCATTCACCTATAAATAGTGAACATTTTTCAAAATAAAATCAGACTACGATTTTTTATCAGTTAAAACAAGTCCCCCGCTAACAAACTGTTTCCCGTAAGATAAGTTCGATTTTCTTCGGGGCATTGCCCATAGTCTTTCATTGTAAATAAATGTGACTTTTGATAAAAAGATTTTCTGACGCAATATTTTCAAGAAATTTCATTTTATTTTACTTCAAATATTTGTCGGCCAAATGAGTTGTCGGTGAAGTGTACATGTCGGCCAAACAATTTGTCGGCAAAATGGTGTCGGTCAAGTGATGTGTCGGCCAAGTGATTGTCGGCCAAATGACCCGGACCCGTCTGATGTTCTACCGTGAGAATGTAATTATTTAGTTTTTCATTTCAACGCATTTTTATTTGTTTTTCTATACATTGATTCTTTATTTTTCATTTGCTGATATTATACTTTTCCTTTTACAGATTTCTTGTTCATTATCAATTGGGAATAGTTAGAGAGATATGAAAAAATAGTCTTACGAATACAGTCTACTCTGTGCATGAATAATTCGCGATTTTTGTAACTTTGTTTTCTTTTTAACGAGATCGTATAACCATCATATCTTTACCATAGGCCAAGAATTTTTCATTGCACAAACTAATCACTAAAATTCTTTATCATTCAAGGAACTAGTATAAGAAAACTTATTAAAAAATTTCGATTCACTCCGTAGACTTTTGTGCAATCTGTTTAGTCGAAGACTTCATTAACATTCAACTCTTAGTGACAATTTTTGTAGAAACGTCATTTAATCAAGTAGATGTTGCCTTCTCACTCATACACAGGCCATTCATAGCAGGGCATCTCACTGAAATTCAGAATTTCAAGTTTAGTTTTTGACAATGTGAACACCGCAACAGGAAAGTCATAATAATGTTCCGAGCATTTTCATACGTAGAAGCAATGACACCTGCTACAGCCACACATCAACTTAGTATTGCATTTTCTATTGTTTTCAAAGCAGAAAAAATACATTACTGACAGTCAACAAAATGCTTTTGTATCCATTTTTGTGCAAATGCAAATTTTTTTCGTGAAAAAAAGAAATACACAAAAAACCAAGGGTAACAAGCAACTTTTCCTTGGTTTCTACAAATGTAAGTCATCGCAAAAATCGATTGATGTCTTTTTTAAAATATTTTGCACACACTCGACGAATCATTAAATATAGCTCGGAATCGGAAAAAGAGGCACAGTCTTGAGTCTAACTGTGCGATATAGACGAAGAGAATGTTAACATCCATACTCACATTAGTATCAGAGGAGTCAAAAATAAGCGTTCAATGAGAACATTCTAAGTTAAAATGTGTGGACTTTTTTCGTCGTAAATTATAGTGTCGTGGGTTTCAGCAAGACAATGTGTCGGATTTTTAACCGTTCTGTACGTATATGACGACTGTTTATTCACCGATTTTATTCCATGCGTATATCTATATATAATCGATCTGAATCATTACATGAAAATCATAAGTTTTCGTGCACCATTCTATATAATATATTTCTCGACTATATATTTCTTGTTCCCTAGACTGAAAGGCTAGGGTCTAGAAACCGAAATTCACCTGTGTCTGTCTGTCTGTCGGTAACGCGGTCAAAATGGCCATTTTTTTGACACATGTGACCATTTTTTTGGCACACGTGACCATTTTTTTGGCACAAACGACCATTGTTTTGGCACAAGTGACCATTTTTTTGGCACAAAAGACCATTTTTATG